CAAATAACATATGCTAACACATATATATGGAATCTAAGGGAAAAAAAAGGTCATGAAGAACCTAGGGGTAAGACGGGAATAAAGACACAGACCTACTAGAGAATGGACTTGAGGATATGGGGAGGGGGAAGGGTAAGCTGGGACAAAGTGAGAGAGTGGCATGGACATATATACACTACCAAATGTACAATAGATAGCTAGTGGGAAGCAGCCACATAGCACAGGGAGATCAGCTCGGTGCTCTGTGACCCCCTAGAGGGGTGGGATAGGGAGGGTGGGAGGGAGGGAGATGCAAGAGGGAGGAGGGATGGGGGTATATGTATATGTATAGCTGATTCACTTTGTTATAAAGCAGAAACTAACACACCATTGTAAAGCAATTATACTCCAATAATGATGTTAAAAAAAAAAAGCAGGTTGGGGCCATGAGCAGTGCAAATGCTTCTTCAGCTTGATGTGGGAGAAAGCTTTCTGTAGGCCCCTTCTCCTAACCATTGTGCCTCGGCTCCTCCTGTTTTAATTCAATTCCAATTTTGTTATCAATGCTATGTAGAAACATGTGCCTTGACATGCTTGTGTAGAAAAATATGCTTCTCAAAATTGTAGAATTAGGGGAATTTTTTCTTTGGTTTTCCTTTTTGTGCACCTGAACTTTAAAAAATTACTCTAGAACAAACGTGTACCACGCGTGCTGTAATATTCTGGGAAAAAACAGTGTCAGAGACTTTAGTGAAAGTAATTTTGTGACACTTTCAAATGTTGACATTGAATCTTCTAATCTAATAAAGGACAGCATTGATCCCTTATGATTCATCTGCTTCAGAACCCAATTTATTCTGAGCCAGATGCAGGGGCCCTGCCTGAGACTGAGACCCTGACAGATAAGAGTGATAAATAGGGGGACCGGATGTCCCAGTTTGCCTGGAAAATTCATGGCTTATGCTGGTAGTTCCAGAATAAGTATTGATGGCAGAACCTTTTACTCTTCAGAGGGTCTCAGTTTGGATGATCGATTGTATGGTCACCAAGGTTGTAAAGATTAGTGCATTCACATCACAGGGCTGCAGCACCTTCTGTGACTGGGCATTTCGAAACAACAGTGGAAAACTGGAAGAAGCTAAACCTTTAAGGAAAGAGAAAAAGGTGCTTTATAATTTTGAGATCCCTGAAATCGCTGGACAGGAACAGCATTCATGGGCTCTGCCTTTCCAAGTTTCTGGGGCATAAACACAAGTCTCTTCCTAATGTCTATTTGGTTAGTCCTTCCAGTAGCACCATTTGATTAAATCATCTAACTGGTGTCATCATGACAGAAGGCAGAATGGAAGATGGAAGATGGAAGATGGACAAGACGGAGAAATTTCCACATTTCATAACAGGGTAAGTACCAAGTGCTGCTTTCAAGTAATCTACTTAAAATATCTAAGTATTAATTATTCTTACCTTAGAGTTATTTTGAATACTCTCTGTGTGACTATTTTAACAGTACATATGAAAAAATCATTGTATAATTTCTAATCTGTGTTTAAAAGTACAAAAATAGTCTATTTAGCTTTACAAGTAAATTGGCTCACAATTCTATACTAATAAATGCAAACTTAAATTCCTTTGGCTATTTCTTGGCATTTGTGGCAGTTTAGATAATTCCTTATACCGTAGTAATGTTCATCAGCAATTAACAAGAAACAGTAGACTATTTTCAACATTAAAAAATACCATGGTCAGAACAAACTTCTGTCTTTATGAATACTCTTCTGTTTTCCCAATCTAAACAATCCCTGAAATCTAATTATAAAATTGTGGTATTTAAATCAAAGTCTCTGACATATCTTATTCCTTTAATCTTTATTCAAGTCTGATTAAGTCCAAACCCTCTTATTAAAGATCCCAGCAGTCAAAATAGATAACAATTGTAATTCATAAATGGTGCACAAAATTTTCTATAAATACCATTACAGGCTAATAATGATTTTGGAAATGGGTGTTTTCCTGCAATATAACTCACTCAGATCAGTTTCAGTGATAATTTCCCACTTTTGCAAGTCTGTGGGGAAAGGGGCAGACATATACTGTTCATGCATTTGTTACAATCCTTCTAGAAGTTATTAATGACTTTCAAAAGCCTTAAAATGTGCTTCCTCTTCCACCCAGTGAATCCACTTCTACAAACTTAGAGAGAAATAATCAGGGATCTATGCACAAAGGTATGTGAGGGATGGTTTTACATAGCAACAAATAAGTAAATAAAAACAAAATAAAGAATTTTATCTACCTATCCCTATCTAATATTTGGAGATTACCTAAATATATTACCTCTAACCTGTATCGCTATGTAACCATTAAAAACTATGATATAGGTCTATATTTATAGACATGGACAGATGTTCATTCTACGCAGGTAAATTACATAAGCATGTTACTAACGTGTGCGCATAGTTGCTGTTAAATGTTTAACACATACTGAGTGTTTGTTTTATGTGCCAGGCACTTTTCTAAATTTTCACCTGTTCTATAACACGTAATTCTCACCACCAAAAAGTAGGTATTGTTATTATTTCCATTTGATAGAGGGGGGAAGTTGAGGCACAGAGAGGTTAAGTTACTTCTTTAGCACTGCTAGTAAGTGATGGAGGTGGGATTCAAACCCATGCAGGTGGCTCTTTGGCCCCTGTTCCTAACCTCTGTGCAACAACTGCCTCATCTTTTTATTCAATATCATTTTTCATAGATACTATGGATTATGCATGCATTTGTATGGGGTTTTTTTTTGCAGAAGAAACATGGTTATCTCTGGATTGTGGAACTATGAGAGTTTTTCCTTTGGTTTTCTTTCTGTATACTTGAACTTTTAAAATTATCCTAGAATAATTTTATTATTGTTATTCTAGAAGAAACATGTGCAATATAATTTGGAAAAAAAGCATCAGACACTTTTCATGAAAGTGACTAATTTTGTGACACTTTCAAATGTTTCAGAAAGATTTTTAAATGCTGCATGTACACATCTACAAACACATTTAATCTATAAAAGAGTAGTAAAAAGAGAGTTTAGGTGAGAGGTGAAATAGATCAGACCCAGCTCCTTAGCAGTCTTTTGACAGTTTATGTTATTACTTTACAGCGTTAGTTAACATGTGTGTGCTTTTGCTTTTCCAATTAAATTTTAACTTCTTTGGCATCCACTGGAAACCCTACTACACACAGTGACTGACAGGTAAGATTCTGCTTAATTAGTAAACAGCTTAATTATTTATAAATGGAAACGGAATGGCTAAGCTCCCCAGCAAAGCAGGAATTTGGACTTAAGTTTAGAAGTTTCCCTATGCACTTGTTGGAGCTGAAAATTCTCCCGGGTCCTTTGCTGTAGCCTCAAGTTCTCTTTTCCAGGGGGGAGAAAATAAGAGAGGCACGGCCAAGTGTCAAATGGAATGGCCCAGGGTTCAGGTCAAAATTCTGGGTGTGAGTTTGGGCCATGTTAATAACAGAAAAATATTTTCCAAGGGACCTTTTCTTTCCAGAAGGCATCTTGGCATACATGGACATAACTGTAAACACCAATCATTTTACTTGTACCGACATCAATGTGCATCATCCACCTACTTACTCCTTACGAAATTTTCTTCAGTCTCATCTGCAATACTTAATAAAGCACCTCCTTGCATCTGGCATGAAGAGTGTGCCTCGCTCCAGGAGAGGGAGGAAAGCAGGTTGAATTGGTAGCAAATGTGTGAATTGAGATCCTTCTCCCAGACAGCGTCACAACCCACCTCTGTAGATGCTGAAAACAAAATGAATTAAAACATTATAATCTTATTGTATTTATACGGCGTTATATTTCTAAGATGAATTTGAATGGCGTGATTCCGACTTGCAACTCCTAAAACTTCAGAGCCCTTATCTATTCTTGATTAGGTCTTTATGATGAAATCTGCATTGTTTTCCCATAAACACTTTATGGGAACACTTGTTCGAGATTGAAAGGAAGTTCAAGAAATTAGCAATAAAGAAGCTCTGATCCTTTCTGGGAAAATGACGTTAGCTATTTTTAAGAGAAGGAAATATAATTGGAGTATAGATATTTGTGAAAATAACATCTGAATTCTTTCAAGTCAGAACTTTATACTGAAAGCTGTGTGAACTGAAGTATTTATTTGAGATAGATGCAAATATTGTTTCAAAAAGCTTTTCCCTGCAAATACCAAAATGCTAGATGGAATAAAAGGGATACAGTAGAAACATGACTCTAAAATGAACAGAAGTTTTCAAATAAACATTGAGAACAGGGACACTGATAGTTTAAAAAAGTTCTTTCAGTCAGGAGGAGAAGCCAAGTCCACTTGCAAAACATTGGCCAAAAGGATTGTGTAGTTTGCTTAAGAGTAAATTTAATAAAATATGAGACGTGGCTCTGAAATCTGAAGTTTATTGAAATAACGGAAAATGAAGACCTACTTTGGGTGCTTTAAATCAAACCCTAAGGTGAACCTAAGCAGCCATAAAAATTACCTGAAATCAAACTCAGCCAAAGAATTTCAGAAGGCAGACAATGTGAACCATGCTACAGCATGAGTGTAACTGATGGTCAGACAATCTGCTAAAATCTAGAACAACTTTTCCCGAAGTGCAGATCCACAGAGTATGACAACTTCAAGAGCTCTGCAAGGAAAGCTGGGACAGTGCGTATGTAACGTCCTCCGGGGAATTCATAATATACAGCAGCATATTAAAGCCTCTGAGAGGTTCTCTAATAAAGAAACAGCTTAATTTTAATTCAGTATACTTCCAACTTATTTGACAATGAAATCTTTTCGGTTTGTTTTCTTTTTCCCACAATACTTAGTTAGATGGCTCCCTTGGGAATGTGGGAAGTTTGTTTTCATATCTGGTTGCATTGTGCCTTCCCCAGAACGGAATTAGTTAAGGAGAAGTTATTATATAAATCTAAGGTTGTCTACAGAGTTTCCTGACTGACACATGTATTTATAGAAGGATCCAAGATTGAAGGAGGATCTATCACCAAGAAGACAAGTCTATCACCAAGGAAAACTGTAGGAAGAGGAAGAGAAAGGGAGGAGGACATCTTCAGTAATCATCTTGCCCTGGTGGCGGAAATTTCCCCATTGAGTTTGAATCCTTAGAGACCGTCTTCAGTTAAAAAGCTATGCCATCCATGAGATGGACAACACAGTAAGCATTATCAGACATCAGTTTAGCCCTGTTCATCCCGTGTGAGAGCTGAGGCCATGAAAGAGGAGTGTTTACAATTTTGGTGTGCACAAAAATCACTTAGCCAGCTTCTTAAAAAAAACACAGGTTCCTGGTTCTCAGTCTCAGAGATTTTGAATTGGAAGGTGGGGTGGGATTCAGAAAGCTGACTTTCTAACGTATTACTGATTCTAATGCAAATGGTTCACAAAGCAAACACTGGGAAACCCGGGTTTGAAAGAAATCATTTGAAGCACTTCCCAAGGAGAGCAGGTATGAGTAGCCTTTGGCTACTAGAAGATAGTAGGATGTCAGAAGGGGAGATAGGAGGAGGATGTCAAAAGGAGAGATCTGGGTATAGGGTGCCTGCCTCTCATCTACTGCACTGGGTAAAGATTTGATAATAAGTCCTAATTATAAGCCTCCATGATAAGCCACACCATGATAAGCAAAGGTTCGGAGGACACTTCAGTTGATCTCATTCCCATTTTTGCCAAGAGTTGGTCCTGCCCTTTCAACAGGACATGGATTAAGCTACATAAAGCAGCCTTTTGCAGAAATCTGCCTGAATTCTGTACGGTAAACAGTTAAGATGAGAGGCTTACAGGTGATCCTGTCTGTGCTACAAATTACACTTCCCAGTTTTGTTAGATTTCCCCTGGCTTTGTGTTATCTGTGCCAGTTCTTAAGTTTAATCAAAAGGAAACCCCCAGTCAAATGTTTGCAAAAGGTGCCCATATTCTTCTAACAAGGCAGTCCATTTGTCATTAAAATTTGGTTTTAACTAAAATATAAGAATTTGTATTTCTATGCTGTCAGACACAAGTCCTCTCTTTGCTTCTCTAGGTGGGCTGCGTGTCACTCCATGGATCCGATCTGAAGATTTCATGGTAACAAGTGGAATGAAAGTGCCACCCTGGGCCTGGGCACTGTGATGTGTTCTTCTGATCTCCCTTCAGGACTGAAGGCCTAATTTCCCCAGCTGCCAGCAGACACCTCTCAACAAGAAGCCTTTTTCAACAAGAAGCCTTGGCTGAAGAGGCTCTTTGCCCATTACCACTCTCCCTTCCCAAGCGCAGTCTGCAAACCATGACTGGTCAGTGCAAGGCTATAAGACCCCTCCTCTCAACCCAACTAGGGGCAAATCCAGCCTGAGAACTCCTCGTGGGTCAGTGTGGGGAGTCACCAGCCCTGCATCACCGTCCTGTGCAATCCTGCTCTCTTCCCTTCGTTTCCATGTGTATCGATCCTGACACCCCTCCCCAGGAGGCCTCCTGCGTGCTCATCTTGGCCTCGGAGACTGTTCCCCGGGAACTCCCTTGCCACAGGGTCCCGTCCTGGCCCGGGGCATTTGCGTGTACTTATTCTTAATCCTCTTGCTTATTCATAACTAACTTCTGCTTCTAAGCCACGGAAAATTGCAGGCTGGTACATTTACTTTTTCTTGAAAAATTCTAATCTAAGGGATACCATCAGATTGTTATATTTCTTTGCATCTTTTGTTGTCTTTATATCATCTCTTCTGTCGCTAAATTCTGAGCTCCTTGAAGGAAGCAGCTATGTCTTATATATCTTTTTTTTTCTTTTTTCTTTCTTTCTTTCTTTCTTTTTGGCTGCGTTGGGTCTTCGTTTCTGTGCGAGGGCTTTCTCTTGTTGCGGCGAGCAGGGGCCACTCTTCACTGCGGTGTGCGGGCCTCTAACTATCGTGGCCTCTCTTGTTGTGGAGCACAGGCTCCAGACGCGCAGGCTCAGTAGTTGTGGCTCACAGGCCCAGTGGCTCCGCGGCATGTGGGATCTTCCCAGACCAGGGCTCGAACCCGTGTCCCCTGCATTGGCAGGCAGACTCTCAACCACTGCACCACAAGGGAAGCTTGTCCTATATATCTTTGCATCTCCTACTGTTTGAAGAAAGATTGCCAAAAATCTTTTGCATGATGGTGATTTCTTTTCCCTTTCAAAATACACCTTTCTTCTAATGAACTGAAGTATATTCATGTCAACACCGATTTTATTATAGATTACGACCGAGATGCAGCCATTTCTCCTTCTCTATTAATATGGCTTTTTTGTCATCCCTAATGATACAGCTTTGTCATTGTCCCAGGTGTATCTTTCCTGCCACTTTAAAAAATGGTTGAATTCTTTTTTAAAAAAAGAACTCTTATACTATTCAAGCAACTCCAGGCTACAAAGTTACTATTTTTCTCTCTCATTGGTCTTTCATACACTCAGCAAATAGTTATTGAATATCTGCTCCCTGAAAAGTGTTTTGTTGGTAAATCTCATGTAAAAGGGATACCAAACCAAGTCAGCACTTCCTGCTGTTCATCCCCAACGCCTTACATGCTCCTTGGTAGCCCTGATCACAGTTGAGATTAAATGGTGCGTTATGGGATTGCTTGTTGATTGTCTGTTTTTCCTGATAAAATTAAGTATCAGGAGAGCAGGTACCATGTTCCGTCTTTTTCATGTTATTTCCCAAGCTTGCCACCAGAATTTAAAGGCAGTTAGGCAGAGGAGACTATGCTATCAAAGGAAGCTGAGAAGTGGTGGCCACAAAGGAAAGAGGAAAACTAGTAGGTGTGGGTCCCAGAAGCCCAAGGAAAGAGATGGTGTCAGTTTGTTACACGTTGTTGAATCTTTCAGTAGGATGAGGACTGAGTCCATTAGTGACTTTACGGAGCACGTTCCAACAGCGGAACCCAATCATCTGCCTGCTCCATGCCTGCACCCAGCAGATGAGCACTGCCAAGAAAAATCATCCGATGGATTCATTATCAACCACCGCCGATGCTTCCTGGAAACATTACCGGTTTTCCCTAAAAAGCTTGCTCTCCCAGCAGCCACTGTGTTCATTTCACACCTTGCCTGTTGTCCAAACCTCCCATTCTTTCTTCCCCCTCTTCGGAGGAAGTCCACGGCCACTGGACTCGTTTCTCCTCATTTTCCTCATCACTTAATCCATCAACCTTCTTGGACCCTGTACCATCCTCTCCTTTTTCCCTCCCATGGAGAAGTTGTCTTTACATCCATAAAAGGTCAGTCTGTCCATCTATGATCTGGACCCTATTTCCTTCTGCCTTCTGAGAGACCATATTTATTTCACCAATTGTTTCACTTTCCTGCATCCTCAACCTCTTTCTGTTAGATCCTTTCCAGAAGCATTCAAAGATGACCTAGCAGCTCTCATCCTTAAAAAACAAGAAACAAACAAACAAATCCCTCCCTTGGCCTCCGCATCTCAGTCTCTACCTTTTCTCTACCCCCATTAATCACATATTTTTATACGTATGCTGTCTCCAATTTCTCATCTCTCATTTACTCTTTAAAAAAAAACAATTTCACTGAGATATAATTAACATGCTATATAACTCACCCATTTAAAGTATATAGTTCAATGGTTTTTAGTATATTCAAAGCATTGTGCAACCATCACCACAATCAAGTTTAGAACATTTTTGTGGGAACCCAATTCCCATTAGCAGTCACTTACCATTTCTCTCTCAGTCCTCACCCCTACCCCCAGCCCAAGGCAACCACTAAACTAGTGTCTGTCTCTATAGGTTTGCTTAT